CCCCGTCCCGCCCAGCGCCCCGTAACGGAGCGGCTTCCCTGGCGGCGCTGCTGGTAGCGGGGGCCGGGAAGGGGTTAAGCTGGCCCTTTCTGGACCTCTGCGGCTCCTGTCTGAAGCAGCCTTCGGCTGTTCCCGCCCCGGCCGGCGAAGGAGCTCGTCGAGCCGTGCTGCAGGGCAGTGAGTTGTCCGGTACAGCGGGCTGGTCACCATACTTCTGGCTGAAGTGTGCCTTTTTCTCCTCCTGAGGGACAGCATCATGGCAAAGTGCAATGAAGTGCTCCGATTGTTGCTGTTTATACCGTCCTCTCCACTCAAATGCGGAGCATACCCTGAAACGCCTCACAGATGTCTCTGATACGCTGTGTGGTTTTTTGCTGTCTTGGAAACTCCTATTTTAAGTATATGCACTATAAAAGGCAAAATACTTAGTCGGTGCGTTCCTGTCCTAAAAAAACACAACCAAAACCTTCGGGGCATTTGATAATGATTTTGGTGAAGGCTGGCAGTTCGTTACCAATGCCTGAGTCGAGGAGAGACAGACCTGTGGTTTCTAGAAGTTTGGAGACGTAATTTGTTCTGTTTGTGAGCTACTGTTTTCTTGTGGGAAACTAAAGGTGGCTGGAAATGGGCTTTAATCTCTCGACTTCTTTTAAGTAGCTATACATAGCATGTCTTTTTTCTGTATTTGCAATATGGACATTTCAGTCTGAGAAGTGAATGGTCAACACATTTGAAATGTTTTAGTTGTATTAGTGCATTTATAACCAACTGCATTTGATACAGAAAGCACTGCATAGTTCTCTATTTCATTATTAATTGCCTGGTAATACTTACCTTGCACTTCTCTTAAGCTCATTTACAGGTACTCTGAGTTCATTTTTGAACATCAGAATTACTTGGTCACTTTGAATCCTATAAAATTCTGAAGTCATTTGTGGCTTTGTGACCAAACTTTACCTTAAAATGAAGTAGTTGCATACAGTTATAATACTGAGTCACTATTAACTCATGTATTAATGCACTGAAATAATGAGGCTTGTGGGTATAAGAAGCTGGTGTATGATGACTAATATATGTGATGTGTTTGTCAGATTTCGGCCTCTAGTACCTGCTACTGCTAGAATAACTTGCCACTTTGAGGTTTTGCAGTTTACTACAGTGTAACTACAGCTCTTGGTCCCCATGACTCCATGAGTTTTGCAGGATGTACTGTCTGAAATACTTGCGTTTCTTGCTGACTTTAGCTGAAGCTCTTGTTTTTATGAAGAACAATTGGTCTGCAGCAGTGAACTGATGTAATAATAGGTATATTGACTGTAAGGGTGTGAAGCCTGAGTGTATGAAATACTTTTCCTTGAAAGGAAAGCTTCAGAATAACACTTTGCCTCTCTGATCTTAGCTTGTATCACTGGGTTGTGTGACTATTTCTCCCTTTCCCTCTTGAAAGAAACCTGATCTGATCAAATAGCATTTATTAGAGAAATGCAGAAACAGGATTAGTTTCTGCAGCTTACTAATGCCAGCTCTTTCTTCATTTTTGAATGGTTTTGGAAACGTGGTTTTCTGTTCTTGCATGCTAGCTAGATAAAAATGAACACTGTTGAGTTCTTTTTGTGTTAATTCACAAATAGCTTATAGAAGTGGTGTAATCTGAGGTGGTACTTAAAAGGCAGATGCACTGATCAGTTACAATACAGCTTTGACTACATGAGGAAAAACAGAATTAAAGTTCTTTTTCCTGTCTGTAGCTGTGTTTTCAGTGTATTGTTCTGAAGGTAAAGGTAACTTATGAAACTTTTGCATGTAGAAGTAAGTGGCAGAAGCTTTTTTGCACAAAAATAACCTTTGATTTGAGCCAAGAATTTGAGGGAGAGGCTTCAAATTAGTGTCACAAGATTAATAATGTCCCAAATCGGTCTTTTTTTTTAAACTGAAGATCTTAATGTTTTTGTTGGCTGATGTTTGGAGTGGATGTGTGCCTCTTGCGGGAGGGTTGCTGTTTGGTTTGGTATTTCTTGTAGCTAAAGATGTAACACTGTAAGACAACAAAATTGGTTTTGGGGAGGGAATAATCAAACCCAATAGGCATGAAATAACTTGGAGCTTGTTAAATATACTATTAGTATAGTGGGCAGTGAAATAAAATTTTGCATTCTAACTGGCCAAACTTAACTGGGAGGAAGTGAACCATATGGTGGTTTCCTGGTGGGTTTTTTTGGTAATAAAACATTAATCAAACTTTTAGTCTATTTTAAAAAGAGGGATTTCTATCAAAGATGACTAATGATGATGTAGAAGACTTAAACCTATCACGCACATATGAACCAACTCTATTTCATGGAGAAGAAAAATCTCCACTTTCCAGGAGTAAATTTACAAGCATTTATGTTCAGAGTAATGTTATATTATGGCCAAAAAGAAAAAGCAGATTCTACTTTGATATTTTAAACTCAATTCACTTACTGTCTTGTATGGATTCTGGCTTTCTATCAGTACAGGCGTAGCCCTCTTTTGTTGTTTCTTTCCACTGCTTCAGAGAGAACTGCTTTAGAGCAGTGTTGGTCCTGCTCTGCCAAATACCAGCAGTACCATGGGTGAAGCTGCTGAGTTTGACAGATAGGGAAATAATTCTGTACGTGAGAATTAAGGTAATAAAGGGAACCTGACAAGGGACTTAGTAAATACACAATATGTAAATTTTGGAGCAGGATGAGCAACTCAAGGAGTTGTTGGGTTTTTAGAGGCTGGGTTGTTGAACCAGGTCAGTGCTCTGAAAGATCTGATCTGTTTTACCTGAGATAAAATACTTGACCATTACCCTGTTTTTCTGACCTTCATTTTGACTGAGCTTGAGTTGCCTGATGAAAGTGGCACTAGTGTGAAATGCTCATAAATGAAAGATTTAAGACACTTATGGTCATAGATGAAGTGGCAGAGATCTTTCAGAACTGAGATCTGCTCTGAAAGGCCAGCAATTCTCTAGGTGATGATGCAGCTTCTGTATTTCTATCCTCCATGCTATAGGTGCTGTCCTGTTGTATTTGAATCTGTTTCCTAAGTGTCTACATGCATCCAATTTCTATTACATTATTTTCTGTGGGGAAAAAGTGCTTCACTCTAAATTGTTAACACATTTCTCGAGAATGTATTCTTAGTGTATGCTGTGATATACCTTTTATTTATCTACTGAGATTTTGATGCTTATGAAACTGTGCTGACATCTTTCTGCATTTCAGTCAGTAACCACAACTAGCAGGTCAGGCTAATTATCAGTAAGGGTCTCATAGCTTATAAATAACCTGTCTTGTAGTCATGGTTTATCAGATGTTCCCTTTAAGTAGAGCAGGGCCAAGCACTATTTTTAAAAATAAATGCAGTCTAGAGTAAGGTGAAGCTTAACTGAAGACTGTACTTGATGAGAACACCACACTTATAGCACTGGGTCAAACAGTCATTCATGTCGGGTACTTTTGCCACTTCCTAAAGTTGTGTGGTCAGTCTCTTTACCACCAGCTGAAGCCCACCCCATCTAGGCACAACTAAATCCACACAAACATACACTCAGAACAGGTGAAACTCTATATCAATACTTAGGCAGTGACATAAAGTTTAAAACCAACTTACCAAAAAGCCTTAACTGTGGAAGAGTAGGATTTAGTGTAGCTATAGCAGCTGTCCTGTCTCAGTGGTGAAGAAGCAGTAATCACCTGAATTAATTGGTATGGTCTGGGTGCATATCCATGGGCCTCTGTTAAGTGAGAAGTTCCCTGGGGTTGCAGAAAGACCTGTGCATTTTCCCTGGACAGGCTGTAAATTGCCTACCAACACCTGCAAACCACCAACTTGGAAATCTCCTATATAAATGAATTTGTGAAAAATGCACCCTGCCTTGAAATCCCTGTGAAAATTGCAACAGCGAAAGTCAGATACATGGCTAAACACTTAGAGTGAGTAGAAATTATCTGACTGTTGTGGAGAGGGGACAGTAAACCAGCTTCCTCATCCCTAAGTTTTCTTCTGCTGTAGCTGACTTGCCTGTATCTCAGGGTACATAAGAGGAGTGAGCTGCTAAGGGTGGGTTAGTGGTTCTCTGTTTTGAGAGAATTAACTTGCAATATTTATGTGTCTTGGAAAAGGATGGAGAAGAAAGGAAAAAGGCTCTCAAGGGGTTGTAACTTTCTGATTTTTTTTTTTCTTGATGTTTTTAACTTGTGAGGGGGTATGTATAGATCTGCACCTCCCCATTTCCAGTTTATTGTATTCGAAGAGCCTTGATGATCTCATGAGAGAATGTCTTTTCCTTACAGGTTTCTAGGTCTTCTCTGTGTAGTAGAAACTTGTGATTAGTGTTAGAGAAAGTGGTTTCTAAATAATAAAAAATTCCTTCTTTTTTGAAATAGAACATTCTACTTCAGTGTACCTGCAATTTCTTAAGGGCCAAATTAACATATTGTGGGAACAGTGGCCATATGCTCTGAGAAAGGGAATAAAACCCATTAGGGTGTGTGCATAGGAGGGACAGGGAGAAGAATGATTAATTTTTAATCAGACAGAAAGCAACTTTGTAATAACAAACACACATCATAAACTACTTCCTTGCTTTTATCTGTTAGGAATTATCTTTACATAAGTGATAAATCAGCTTCTGATTTGAATAGAATAATCTTTGTTATGTTTAGAGACTTAATTTATACCAGTCTTCCATCAGCTTTAAAAGGAATATTTTCTTCTCTCTTTCTTTAAATGTGCATAGAGATGGTGACTGTCTCCATTAATAATTACAGGCAGCTTGCTTTTTTGGGCATAAAACCTGATAATATTCTTGTGGAATGGATAACCTTAAAGTGGCACTTGAACTAAAAAATTCTATATGCCAACAATATGGTGTATACCGTTCCTGCTCTGGAAAACTTAACAT